ATATAGAATGGATAATACTCATGAAATGCCAGAATTATTGTATCGTATTTTGTTTTATATTTTGACATGTTCACTGTGCATGCATTCCATGTGGTGCATTTTGAGGTACAAACATCATGTAAATGCGTGCACCACGTATGAGACACGACGAATTTGTACGTGTAAGCTAAATTATCTTTATTTGATTGCACGTGTAGACCATGTAAAGCATAATGGTACCGGGTGACTTTTTCACCAATATACTTCTATACGAATCCCAATGAATTTTCGAACAAATTTGTAACTATTTTGGTATCTTGCTTTTGATCATGTAAATGTACTGGTAAATATACTTCGTCTTTGTTTATAACTTATTTTGTATTATTTTCTTTTTGCGTTGGCCTCTATATAGAGATAAATTTGTTTCCGAGTCAATATCTTTGTTGCAGTATGACAATGAAATGTCACCTCTAGATAAATGTGAAATTCATATTAAAATGATGCAGAATCTTCCCTTTCTTTTATTACTTTAGCAGTAATAGAGCTTGTGAAAGAGTTCGACCATATCTATTTTTGCTGCCAAGCTGTAATGTGAGCATTGTGATCACAAATATTTTGCTTAATCTTTTGCTATTGCCAAGAGAGATATATACCGTTGTCACGATTTCGTATTACCTAAGACTATTTGGAACCACACGACAAACCACGGTTGAAAAAGTTTGTGTCCATAAATTAAATAGTCCATAAGAAAGAGTTCGTTCAGGGAGAGTACTGCCACTTTATCTATTTTTGCTGGCAAGCAGTAATATGAGCATTATTGCGTTCCGATTTTGAAGGGTAAGGCTGCTGATGAAAGTACGGGCATATGGGACTTGTCAACTTATGTCTCATGGTGACGGGCGTAGTGGCAGATCTTTCCGATTTAAAGCACTAAGCGGCAATGCAACTGTTATGGACAGGCATGTCTATTACCACCATGCGCACAACTTGTTCGTCCCATCACTAGGTGTCATAAAGAAATATTTCAATTTCCTAAAATATAAGTATGCATAAATCAAACTAAAGCGTGTATTCAATAGTAGATTTTCTTCTTTTAGAATCTAGAGCTCTGGTTTTTAGAAAGTACTAAAAAGAAAAGTGACGATTTATTTATTTAGTTTTTGTGGCTTCACAAGCTTTGTATTACATATTAATATAGTGAACCCATTAAATACTGGATCGAGTTTGAATTTAGATGAGGTTTCAAAAATCCTAAAAATGACGCCAATTGCACAGATAAGAAACACTCAGCCACAGTGACGGAAAATCACGCAGTTCAAACCTGCCCGTGCATTATTACCAGTGAAAGTGGTCAAACAGGTACCACTCTAGAACACTCAGATAGACCGACGACGACCCCCTTCACTAATCGCCTCCACTTTTAACAACTATTACGTAAACATGACAGATTTATTTTATAGTTCTGTCAAAGAAATCCAAAAAATTATATAATCTGGTACGTGTGTACTTAAAATTATATAATTTGGACAGTGACAAAATCTCCATTGTGCTAATAATGTGCTATTGTGATCGAGCTATCAAACATTAACGCGCCGTTAGAAAGAGCTTAGTCCAAAACGATGGGAAAGTGGATGAGATCACAGATATTATAGAACGGAATAGTACTGGGAAGCGTGAGAAAGCGAAGGTCTTGAAAGAAGCTGATAGCGAAGATTGCTCTTTGCTGTTTGGTGATTATTGCAGATATCCGCCGTAGAAATTGACAAAGTACACTTGTGAATAGTGTTGATTCAGTTCGCTATGAGTTTGATATTTTTTATAGGCTGTAATGTTACTGATATGTAGAAATGGTGATTCTAGTAACTATTTAGATTTCTGACATCAATGTTCGTGGTCCTGTAGTAGAAATTACAAAATCACATATAATTTATAACCTTATTATTCCTCAACGTATAAAAACGTCCAAAACCACCTTATCGGCCTTTTGATCATGCGATAATGTTTATGTGGGAGCTAATTGGATCGATTTCGCTCCTGGACAAGTTGTGTATATAAAACACTGTAACAATTGTAGTTTGCATACAATCGGAGTCAGGAAGGCTAACGGCACCGGCCGGAATACATTTTATTACATTGTTTCCGAGTTCCGTTTACTGAATAGGTTTCATAACAATTTCTATATTAAATTGTGTCTATTTAACAATTGATCTTGAACACCTATGTCGGGAAAGTAGCTTCAGACAACTATATCTTGATCTCTTGATCTACAAGTGGTTAATGCTTCGTTGTAGATTATAGAATATTCAATCTATGCTCAGATTCTCGAGATAAATACTATCTTTTTAACCGACTTAAAAAAAGGAGGAGGTTCTCAATTCGACTGTATGTTTCTTTTACCAATTATCATGATTCTTTTTTTATTGTAATTTGTAGGGAATCTCCATAGTGGTCTCATTTCATTTTGAAGAAAATCATCCACCTCTAAGGGTGGCTGATCACGCATGAACATTCATTTTTATAAATAGCGCCTAAATTTTACTTAAGGAGCAATTATTTTAATGGTTGGTTTTGCTATTCTCCAATTCAAGGCGTTTTTCTCTCTCAATATATGTACTATGAGTAGTGAGAACCGATTTTTATTATCTCCTGTGTCAAGTCCTGTATAGCGGCGAAATAGGGGATATTCTAACAAAATTTGGCAAATAGATGTAATTCCACGTACTTTTGAGGTCGGTTTTTTTAATACTCTGTTCTGAGATTATTAAGACTGTAATTGACTACAAGGAATCAAACAAAAGGTGTTAGGAAAAGTTTATCGCACCTTTACGTTTAAAAATTGAAAGGTAAAACATTGGCGCCAATCTTATCAGTGAATATAAGTAAGTAGGTATGTATAAGAGATTTATATTGGAGATAACCTACGCGTCAGTATCGTGATTGATTAAAAAGAAAATGTTGATTCATGTTGTATTTTCGAAAATATACCTACTTTTGTCAAGGGTAGGAGTTTTCCCAAGATATTAAAATCTCTGTTCAATCACCGACTTGTTTATGATCAGCCTTACTAATAAACACATTTAAAAACAACTACTTAACAACTGTATTTTTATAAGGTGTGTGTACGTCAGCATCTGTGTAATAGATGTTATACTCGTCAAAAGTAAGTGATGGATATTTGTCATGTAAACTAATTGTTAATAATTGATTTTATAAACCATGGTCCAATACTTGTGAGGTGGATCGTAGAGATTTTGAATGCCAATGTTTTACCTCGATAGCGGAGATTAACGCAATCTTAAAAATTTTATCTCAATGGAATATTTGCTAATCCAAAGTCTTGTACAATCTTTGTTTAAAATGAAAAACCTGTGCTAGAATTTTTAATTGCGCAATTGTAAAACATGAGATACCCTGTTCTGTTTTATTACAGATAAGTTCTAAATAAATATGCCATTACGAGTGTGTAGATTTTCCTGGACTTCAAAGCCTTACGCAAGAGATCAGAAATAAAGTCTTAGAACTTGTATCTTACGAAAGACACATACGTCACGGGGAACTCGAATTAACAAGTGTTACGCAAATTTTGAGCTCGGCTAATATGAACGTAATGGGGTTGTGGCCTTCTCACCTAAATAGTTATCTCTTTACAGCTCATAATGAGGACGTCCTAATTTTGATCGGCCAGTTGGGTTATAGTCTTATATTATAATATTAGTAGGTATTGAAGTCATCGGACCAAGCTTTATGTCAAAAGGGCAACGAATAATTCGTGCAAAAATGTTATACATTTAACAACTACAATGTGAATCTTAGTTATTTGTACAATTATGTTTAGAATGAAAACCGCTTGTTCTGGAGCTATCATTTCTGACAGCGAACTAAAATGCCACTATAAATAAAATTAAAAAAAGGAGACTTAGTGGAGTCTGTCCACGACGTGGTAAGTACGTCAGAAAGATTCGTGGCGGTGTGGCGTGAGGTGAACTAAATGACGGTTCTTTATAAAACCCGCCCACAACTGCGCCCGCGCCGTTGTACGCCGTCAATGTCTATTCACTCTTAAATCTCTGTCAGATGTAGAGTTTACTATTTCTAGAGCAATGACGAAGGACGTATTTACAGTCTCGCTATGGTTCTTTGGTTATAAACGCCAAGTTTTATGTTCGGATTTAATTTTCGATAGCTACTAAAAATTTAGTGTGTTGTTTGTATTCTCTTGATCCAGCGAAAAAAAAACAGTATACAGAGAACTATTTTTTTTTCGCTGGCATTTTCAGCGACGACTCACAAGTTGTCGATAAAACCAATATAGATGTTATTGTTGATTCCTAGCCGCACCCGTGTGCCCATATAAAAACTTTGGTGAGTCATAAAAGAGAGGGAATATCCTCGGTTAGTAAGAAGTGTTTATTTGTAATTTATTTCTCGCCTTGTTTCTACACTCGTAATCGCATTCTGAGAACTACACAGGATACCAAACTCGTCGATACTTATTTGTTTGCGGATTCTGGCTCATTATCATTAAAAATTAACGCGAAAACGCTTCATAACTTTTTAGAGCGTCGTCCGGGCACGTAAATACAAAGAGCGTAAATACACAATACAGCACGTAAATACACATTTCCCACCACGACTACAAAATCTTGTATTCTTAAAAAAGCTTCTTAATGATCAACTTTCTTTTCTCTCATTTACATTAACAGTAACTTAAAAAAAGTGGTTGAAAAAATGTAAATTTGGTGAACGTGGATGTCAACACCTTACATGTATGTACGAGATACCTATCTACACTATGTTACTAAAAGTTTTCCTTTTTTAAAGCTTTCTTAAGATAAAAAATATTTGTTTATGGTCTGATTTTTTACAAGACAAGTAACATTTAATTAAAGGTTATCTACCCTTTCCTTTATCCCGTATTTTCCTAATACAAAATTCACTTTGACACCACTAAATTGTATAACCGTATGATCACCTAAGGAATTACTCATAGGTGCTTATGATTCTTGTTTTGCTTGTTACAGGCACTGGCACATTCGGCCGAGTATGCCTTTGTCGTGACAAAGCAGCGGACGAGTACTTGGCCATGAAAATCCTGTCCATGGCAGACGTCATTCGTCTAAAACAAGTGGATCACGTCATGAATGAGAAGAACATACTCGCTGAGATAAATCACCCTTTCATAGTCAATTTGTAAGTATACTTTTATTTATATATCTATCTACACATGCTGTTTGTGGCTGGGTAGTGTTTTCTCTGTAAACATCCAATGGCGAATGCCGGTTATTTGATAATATCGATAATTCGAGGAGGAAAGGATATAAATGCCAATTTTACTGAAATATATGTGATTGATTAAATTTTTATTGAATTGATATTCAATTATTTTTTGTGAAATTACTCCACTAGTTTGATAAAATTATTAATATTAATTATAATAATAATATAATTTATATATAATAATATAATAATAAATAATTAATATTATAACAAACTAATAAGGAGTAATTTCGCAAAAAATAATTGAATGTCAATTCAATAAAAATTTAATTAATACAATGAATAGCGACATCTCTCGCCAGGACTGGTAGCTGTAAAGGTACTAACTGGGTGATAAATCTTTCATAGATTTATCATAGATGTCGCTACGACTAAAAAGTCGTTGAAAAACCATATTAATAATTATATGTGATTGGGTTAGGAAGTTACCACACTCATTGACACGACGTCGCATTAAGCTAGTCAGAAAATACTTTATGTCCACGTAAAAACAGCGGTCAGCGCGAAAGCGTAACGCACAGCGTGTATTTCACTCCTGCCATTTACATAAAAAAAATTAACTTAATCTAGGTTACATATATCATGGCTGATGAACTTCTATAAGTATGAAAATACCTGGGCCATGTACAGTTATTATATAGATTAAGTGTTGATCTAGTTATGTAGACTAAATAAAAATTAATAATGTCTGTGTGTGTGTGTGTTTGAGTAGCTTAATAATAAAGCTTTTTCTGTGCGGCTGAAGTTCACTAATAAGCATTGTAAGTTCCCTATATTTGCATGCTCCTTTGATAGTCTACTCAATGTTTTGTTATTCGCCAATATTACTTTTTACGTAAACATAGTTATACATATAAAAGATATGACCCAAAATGTTTATAAATTTATGTTTATCACTCGTCTAGTAAATTTTGCAGTTTCTTCTCCTAAGTATTGATATGTTTTCTATTATAATTTGTTAGCTGATTCTTCGAGTCTCGATTTCATCTTTTATTTAAACATTAATTTGATACCCTGACCCTAACTTGATTATTTCCAAAGTATGATGTTGGGAAATACCATAATTTAAACTATTATCTGAAATTTATAACATGTTTCTTCCATTCCTGTATCTTTTAAAGTTTGTGAAATTTACTCTATGACTACGGATACCAGCTTCAATATCACGTGGTATCAATACAAAATGGTTTCAGTAAATGTATGGATGTTGTATTTCATTAGAATTTCTGCATTAGACTCAATATATATACAACTTAGTACTGTTCGAGATATAATAATTTTTCTAAACTCATTTTCACTATTTCAGCTCATATAGGATAGACCGTAGAATAACAAAAAATAATCAATAAAACAGGGTTTGAAATACATCTCTACATAAAAAAAACTGATCTCAAAAGTTTGTGGATTTTTTTTTAATAATGCACACACTTAACATAGCCCTGCATTAGGGAAACCCTGTGTTGCGGTTGCCATGAACACACACATAGAGAACCACAAATTACACCCAAACTCACGAGAGAAATAAATGTAGGCCATACAAATATTTTTCTCAGCCAGGGAATCCAACTTGGGACCTCTGCGTGGCAGTCTGGCACGGTAACCGTTCGGCCACAGAGGCAGTTAAATTAAATTACATCTACTTGTCAAGATTTATTGAAATCGGTTAGCGGACAGTGGGTGCGATCCAATAAACCGGATTCATCCCCTATTTTTCCAACCCCTAAAGGTGAAATATTTTCTTCAAATTTGAATGGGACCTAAAGGTTATTGGAAAGCTTTCCAACAAAACAATGAATTATCGAATTCGGTTCACAAATTTCGGGGTAATCGCGTAACATACACATAAAAAAACGGATTGAGAACCTCCTCCTTTTTTTGAAGTCGGTTAAAAATAACCTTTATTGAGGTTTATTGCAGTGTTACGGATAACTCGTTAACAGATTCATTTCCGAGAAGCATACATTGTTTTTCAGTCTAAAGATTTCGCATATCTCTTATTGTAAATTTTATCCGGTCATGAAACCGACGTTGTGAATACATGGCTTAACCGTTGAGATAGAGACTTCTTAAAGACATATCTACCCCTATTATCATTTTTCAAATCTTTCTTTACAAATATGTGAATTGAATACGTTTTTGAGAAGGTTAAGACATTTATTTTATGTATGCTGTTTTTAAAAAACAATGATGGAATAAGGTGTTCCAAATGAGTATGTAAATGTCTACATATAGATACAAGGATTTATATGGAGTCACTAAAACCACCAAATATTAATTAATTACTTTTTCTATTCATAATGAAACTTAATGAAATTAACTAACTGGTGGTCGCAATTTCGTCTGCGTAGAATACGAGTAAGTACTTCGAGTAATCTACTGTACTATACCTACTAATTTTCATAGTTATATTGGTTCTCCATGCAAACTTTGACTCTCTTACAGATTTCTTTTGTGACAAAAAGTAGCCTATATCCTTCCCCCACGTTTCATCTATCTCTATACCAAAATTCATAATTTTGGTTCACCGGGTTAGGCGTGAAAACAGAATTCATAATATTAGTTTGGATAATGCGGTTACTATTCAGCATTAGTTAAAATAAGCTTTTGCTTGTACCTCATACAAAAATGTTTATTTTAGTGAAACGTTAGTTATCTACTACATTTTTACATGGAGCCCTTAGAATTACTTTAAAATTCAACTTCAGCTTCCTAAGTGTGTAGTTTTTTTATCTTACTTTTGAAACTATTTCCAGAAATCCGGAATTCGTAAAAAGTAATTAACTAATATTTGATGCTTTTAGCCACTCTATGTTAGTCCTTGTATATATAGACTGTCTACTTGTTTGGAACACACTATTCCGATCATTAGTCATAGAGTTAAGTGATAGTTTTGAGTAAAAATGTTCAGACTATCCAAATAAGAAAAATAGCACTCCTGATTAACCTCCTTATTTTCTGGAACACTATATCAATCGCACATGTCAAAACACCAGCTTATTATGAATTACTGGCAAGGTATTTTAGTAGACCAAAACACCTAATTAATATTGAGACGGTGCTGAGTAGTGGCGTGCAATTAAAGGCGCAACGTCTATGCAGCTATACACATGACGTGCAAATGCAGCTGACGTAGGCGCCGAGCCAAGGAACGTACTGATGAAACCGAAATTTATGAACGTGGCAGACAAATATATTGTTAAATTTAATTAGCACCCATAAGTCATAAGTCAATGCGGTCTTCAAAATGGTCCAGTATTAGTTATAAGATTGTTCTAGAGCCATGCCTCCCAAAGTGATTCATATCGATCCACGGATCCACTCCAACCCAAAATTCCAATAATGGAATATTATCAAACATCATAATTTAGAACTGAATCTTCAGACATTGTTTGGGCAGATTGAGGAGTCGTGCTATGAGATTACGTTTAATAGTAACACTATATTTTAATCACTATGAAATTGAATAACAACTTGTACTTTCTATTAATTTTAACGATCAAAATAGGCATTAGGCGAAACGTTGGACAGTTTCTAGGTAGTGTGTGCAGCCCGAGAGTCGAACCATCACTGTGTTCTCTCTCGTCTACCACCAATGTTTCCCACCCAGACTCTGTCGAGGTCCACCGGCAGAGAGTGCGCGCGATTTACTCTGTAACCTGCAGGTGGCGCCTCTGTCTAGCAGTTTTTCATCCGTGCTCATGACCGTTTCCGACATATAAGATGCGTTCTTTTATTGCATCAAATAAATACAACAGAAATATTGTTGAACAGAAGGTGAGCAAAGGTGGACCTATCTCTAAAATAAATCTCTTCCAGTCAACCCAACGCAGAGAGAGCAAAGGTCAGAAGCGGACAACAACGTGCAAGAGATTCTCTCTTAGAGGGAAATATTATAAACTACCAGATAAATTTGAATGGAAGAAATTGCTACATAGCAATAAGGCCGCCTGTTGCACATTGACTTACTACTACTATTATACTTAAGCTATTGTATTGTATTTTAATTGTAATTTTATGTGCAATAAAGAATATTTCATTCATTCATAAATTTAAAAGAAACTGTTGCTTGCATAAGTATTATAAATAAATAGATTATATATAGTACTTATGTATTTATAAGTTTCTCAGTTGACAGTTAATCTAATCTAAGCGAGTAGTACTGTGTCAGCAGTCAAACACATGGTAATGAATTTACAAAAAATCAATATTACAACGTCAAGGGCCCTATCTTAACAGAAAAAAATTACACATAGTCTATGAAACAAAAGGTTTGGGGACCTCTGTTTTAGAGCATTCTTATTAAAATTTTCTCTCGGCTCTTTAGGCAGCTTTAGTGCGTACATGATGGCTCTGTGGTAGCGGAACTACTCCACAGGCGGACGTCCAAGACAATATTTTGAAGTGTGAATTTCCGCATTAGTTTTCAAAACATAGGATACATGTTGTTGATGAAACGTATTTTGGCGCCAGATGCGAAATAGTCGGCGTAGTGGCAAATGTCTTTGCGCATGAGCGTCACAGCTGGCAACTGTCACTCACTGTCATTTTGAGACAATTATTGTGATGTATTAGTGTAGAATTACATCGCATTGTAATTTAATGGATGTTGCCTAATTCTGGGCCAAGTATCGGTATTTATAGCATTGATTAAACAACAATTCTGAATTCCGACGTGACGTGTATTTACGAAGGTGCTTGTATACACGATTTTTTAGTATATTTTCGACAGAGGGACAGAGCGTTTGTTTGACTTTCGTCTAAATATATGAAGAGGCTGTATCTTGGAACCTTTGCCTACCCTAATATAAGGATTAAAGTTTATAAAAAAAATTGCGTTTGTTGTCATGGCTAGTTAACAAAATATACATTAAATATTGGTTCTGTTCCATTATTTTATTTACTTGTAGAAAAGTAAAAAAGTGTTGTATGCAATCATTACATAATTAGGTCTTAAAATCTCGTACCTATTACTTAGGCCACTCGGCAAAGCCGTGATCTAAACATGGTACTCGCAATGCAGTACTACATATCTGAAAATTGTTTTAAGGTGACGTTAATTTTTTTCGACAGTTATTGACATTTAGTAATAAATACTACAATTTGTACATACTTTTGCTTGCTGGTGAAAAAAATTTCGACATGAACAGGTTAATTTACAGAGCTTCGTATATTTATAATTTAGCAAGTCTGACTATGAAATGATTGAATTAAAGAAGCGTGGTTTGTCAAGTAAATAAATTCACTACCTGCTGCGCCGTGTTTATGCACAGAAATTTGGCGTTGATTTGTACACCCAACTTTCTAATACCTACCTATTTAATTCACTCGTTTAGAGTCGTGTATTGAAAGAAACGAGATTGTCAGGGATTGTGTATATTATTAACATCCTCATCTTTTTCGTGTCGTTGTATAGTAATTTATCTTCATTTTCCTTTAAAGTCTTCCTAAAGCCGTAAAAGATGATTGTCCAAAATGTTCTAATATCGATGTACGTCGATATTGCATGTATTCAGTTCTTAGAATAAGAAAATTTATTCCAAGAAATAAAAATATAATAAATGTGAACCTAAAAAAAAATAAAAGACTTACTTCACCGAGTGGCGCCATCCAGTAGATACCAATACAATATACCTAAGCCTTAAATCCTCTATAATATCTACAAAAAATCTAGTTACTAGTAGCAACATATGGGAAATTTAAGGATGCGAAGTCTTACTCCAAAACTGAAGGGTTTTTTTTCGTTCCCAGACGATGGTGGACACACGACGACTCCTGTATCTACATGTTATTCGATTATGTTTGCGGGGGAGAACTGTTCTCCTACTTGCGGAACGCGGGCAGATTCAGCAACACCATTGGTAAGTCTTTGATTCTTTCGTTCATATTTTTCAATTCTTGAAGCTAATGTGGCAGATACAGAAAGTCACTATTCAAAATTTTCCTTTGACTTACCAGCCGTTTTATATGTAGGAAATGTTCAAAAATAAGCATCAGAGAAATAGCTATATATTTAGAAGATAAAGAAACATAGACGACAGAATTCACATTTCTTGTATATGTTTGATGTAGTAAATAAATAAAACGTAGTGTAATAAATAAATAAACGTTGGATATGAGCCAGCGCTGACCGCAGTCGCACGCGATCCGTGCGCAAGAGTCTGTAATCGTCTGGACATATAATAATATTGCTGTTTTAATGACAAGAAATATGACTACCGTGCTCCACTATTGTTACATTTCTACAATTGATTGGCACGCTACTAGTTTTGCCAAACATTGAACATATACCATTGACACCTTTCTCCACGTCAGAATTAATAAATAGGCATGTTTATGAAAACGCTATTGTCTCGAAGATCATATGACATCAAGTTTAGTATGCGTTTGATTGTCATTGATTTATGCTTGAAATCTAAGAGCTTTGTGATATAGAGTATAGGTAGATATCACGAGGATTAGGATTTTTGTTGGATTTTGGTTGGCGCCATATTGCCATGAGATTCTTGGATGTGACTTGTAGAGGTCGTGCCAAGTTTAGCTTATCTTAAAATCTAGAGTGTAAGATACATGAGATGAAGCTAGGACTAGCTATTTGGCTCCAATTGAAACTCCTATTTAAAATTAATTGGCGTGTTTTTAGTTCACTACAGTTGAAGGTTAATTAATTTTGCTCCATAAATAAATTGATGTATCCAATGACAAATTTGAAGAGGATTAGTTTAATGTCGGATCATAACTTATTGATAGCGACGTTCGTTAAGAAGTTTGGCTTATGAGGCATACACATACGTTCATTAGTGTTACGCTACTAAGAAATTCTTAATTAGGTATTGTAAGTACGCAATGAATCGTGTAGCGAAATGAAACATGAAATGTGTGCTATAAAATATGGGCGGGATAGAAAAACAAAGTTCATTAATATGAGAACATGGGTTATTTCTGGAGAAAGGACACACTTACTAGGACGGAAATAGTTTATGTTGACGCGTGTAGTATACCGTGCTTGTAGTGTAGCCACAAGGGGACGAGAACCAATTCGTAGGTGGATATTTCCACAGTTTTCAATTTATAATTCTTGTGACGTAATCAGGACGTTACTACGGTCTTGGCCCAGACTATAAGACGTATATGCCAGACCAACTGCCGCCGCTAGACTACGTGACGCCTGCCTCCGTTTCTATATTTCGCACATTGTCTGCTCTTTATAATTACACGCACTCAGACATCCACTTACGCTGCAATAAAGATATTGTTCTGAACATGCTTACAGATACATGATGCACTGTCGTTTTTTAACCGACTTTAAAAAAGGAGAAGGTTGTCATTTCGACTGTATTTTTTTGTGTGTAAGTTTGCGATTACTCTGACAATTGTAAACTGATTTCGATGATCTTTTTGATCTTTTTTTTCAATGGCACTAAACCTTTGAAGAGCGGTGTTACTATTTATATTTAACGATGTTGGTTGAACAACGAACTTATAGGCTGGTCGTTTATGTGGAAGTCCTTCTTAGGTCGCGTTGCTAGGTGGGCTGATGTCATTCTCTATGAGATATTTTGCTGTGTTCCGTGTAGCGCTACGCCTACAGTGGACTTTGTTTTGTACCGATACCATGACTACAGTTGGAGCCGGTTTCATTTCAATATCAAAAGAGACGCAAGATGAGTAACGAGAACATTCCAATAGTGCCTAACAATATATTGTGTAGGTTTTTGGCAAATATACATAAAATATAACTGTAACATTTTGTAGAGCATACACAAACGCATAGTCATATACTTTTATATCGTAGTGGCGGTGTTAAAATAGGGCCTAATGTTTTGATATACTTATCACCTTTAATACCACCATAACACGAGAACACATTTTTTTATCACAAAATGCGTAACTAATGTGTTCTTGTTGAAATAATAAATTGATAGACAAATGAGAGGAAAGAACCCCGATGTTCCTCCAGCTAGACATTCCGGTTCTGTATCTATCATCGAAAGAATTTATCTTTTTTTCGCCCACATATCAAACGAGGGGTACATTTGGTAAAGACAACAGCACACGAGAAAGAGATTTTTCAGACGAATCTAACGTATCGTGGCAGGACAGCGTAAACCGTTTTGTCTTAAACAACGATTTTATATTCCGTATAGATATATTCACGTTAGATACTCCCGTAATGGCAGGAGCATTAATTTTTTAAGAAAATACGGTTGACACCATACTCCATAATATTTCAAAGGTTACAAAGCGGTGGTGACTACAAAATTCATCAGACCAATAGTCTGCCGGTTTGCGTATCAAAAAAAAAAATCTGACGCAGGCGAATGAGGAGGAAACGGTATTTGGCTGAAGTTTAATAACGTCAGTCGTAGATTGAGTACACATAAATCAGACAATGTTCAAGCAGCGAGCGACACTAATATAGTCGCGAAAACTCGCCTGATTCCACTGGAAATTGGCATTGACTTTATGAACTCAAAAATAAACTTTTTGCTCTTACGCTACAGTATGTAGTGCCTATACGTTGATCTCCATACATATGTATCTGTAATCTTGGTCAGATCTGAAAGGATTACGCAATGTAAATTATATTCAAGATGTGCTTTTACACGAAAACAGCTGTACATTCTTAAAATAATGCAGTTTTTTGAGCCTAATATTTCACGTGCTTTATGTATTGTCGATTTTTACGCAATTTGAAACTTAACTTTTGGTCGTCCAGGGACTGAAAGAGGCCCTTGTAGACATTTTAGCGTGTACAAAATGTTAGCATTAGTACCGGTATCAGTCACGTATTAGTACGTTGTAAAGTTTACCTTATAAGTAAGTCTTTTGTGTTAAATTATACACGTGTCGCGCTCAAATGCCTATACAAGTTACGTATTTCGATGCCTGATTTTGACTGACCTAACATCAGTGAACGGAGACAATTAGTTATAGTTTCTGTTATGTATCTTTTTGATAATGTAGCCGGTACAAAAAATTTATATAATAAACGATATATAAACAAAGAGGTTTAAAAAGTTTGCCAAGCAGAAGAACTACGTTAAAACAGTCGTTATTTCTACGGTGTCAACCGTTGTTTTGAAGGAACGTGGCTTCTTTGTCTTTGATGTTTGTTTTTGTCAGTATTGTAATATAAATTTATCAAAGTAATACTTTATTGGAGTAATAATAAACCTAAATGTATTTTAGTAATAACAAAAGTAACGTGACTGGTTTGTCTTCTTTGATGTTTATTTTCATCAGTCATCATCATCAACATCGTAACAATGTAACAATTTAGAAATGAAATTACTTTCAAACTCAAAATCGATTTCGTAAATTATATTACTGCCTTTTTCTTGTGAATAATATATTTACATAACTACAAATATAATGCGATATTGATAACATGTTGAAGTCTGTTTTTAACCGACTTCAAAAAAGGAAGAAGTTGTCAATTCGACTCTATGTTTTTTGTGTGCATATTACGCGATTACTCCGACATTTGTGATGATTCTTTTTTGTTGGAAAGGTTGTACCTCATTATTGATCCCATTCATTGGAAAGGCTGTACCTCATTATTGGTCCCATTCAAATTCGAAGAAAATATTCCACCTCAAAGGGTTTTTTTTATAACATCAAGTCACGAGACGAACAAGTCGTGCGCCTGATGGTAAGCTCACACCTGTCCACAACAATTGCAGTGTCACTCAGAGCCTTAATTGTGTGCCTGTAATTTCACCAGCACCCTTCCCTTCAAAATCGGAACACAGTAATGGTAACATTACTGCTTGGCAGCAGAAATAGGTAAGGTACAGTACTTCCCTGGACGAACTCTTTCACAAGGAGCTCTACTGCTACTAAGGGTAGTAAATTAGGGGATGAATCCGGTTTATTGGTTTTCAGTCTCTTTTCGTTAACCGATTTCAATAATAAAACTTGTAATTCCACAAAGTTTTGATCGACATCAAAAGTTACTACATTCATCTTGATTATTTGTGGCGTTACCATTGTCACTCATTTTTTTCCGACAAACTTCACTCACTGTATGCACACCTATTATATCTATGACCCACACGCGAAATTAAAGTTGTAGCATTAGCCTACACCGATTTTGATGGTTCTTTTTTTGTTGGAAAGAAGATACTCCAGTATTAGTCCCATTTAAATTTAAAGATACCACACGGACGTTGCGTCGGCGTTGCTTCGTCTCAACTGCTTTGTACTACATATAAATCAGAACGACATGCCACACAGTGCAAAATTGAAACAGTCGGAACAGCTCGTCTGGCACTCAGTCCGTTGAAATTAACGCAGTTGCGACGACGCAAGGCCGACGCAACGCCCCTGTGATATCTCCTTAAGAGCAAACTTGGGGATGCATCCAGTCTCGCGTACTTTCCGGTAACCGATTTCAATAAAACTTGGCAAATAGATGTAATTCCATGAACTTTTGAGGTCAGTTTTTTATAATTATTTTTATTATTGTAAGCATTAAGCGCCGGATTTTGCTTCCGTTGTCCAGTCAATCCGTGACCATGGAGCGTGTAATCGTTCCGAAATATCGGCAAAACACATAGTACTCATACCGTGGTAAAAAACCTGTAGTTAGTGATAATCATTTAGTGAGTAACTACGAAAGCCTTAAAATCTATACTCCTTATAATTGGAAGTTACATAATCTTGTAGGCACATATATGATTTGTGATTTGGAAGTTCAGATCAGATTGCTTACCGTGTAGAAGTGCGCGAGATATCTGTCGTGACTTATAGATAAATGTGGCTTACTCTTGATCTAAGGAATTCCCTGTGCTGAGAGTATGTACTAGAGTAACGAGCGAATAGGGACGAATTTATTATTTACATAAGATTATTACACTGCTTCTGCGTACTGTGTAGATGACACTAATAATCCGTGATGTTGACCCGTTAAGCTCTTGCAAGTAGTCTTGAAATAGATATATTATTGTAAATGATAAATGTGTACAAATAATAATAATAATAATGTTTACTTACAAAACAAATGTTTATTTACAAAGAGCAACCCATTGAGTTCTTGCTCATTCTTCTCAGGGGAACCTGCTTTAGAATCGCGTAAATGCTGAATGGATATTATTGCGATTAATGTGTTTATTTTTATTTATACATAATACTTCATTCAGTCATTCTCGGACTAGTGTTCACTACCTAATTTCCGTGGCAATTTTGATTATTTAAGTATTCGACTTTTTCATCGTGCAAGATTATTTAATATTCGAGTATTGTACCGTGAAATGTTATTTAAGAATTACATGATAATATACTTGAATATTTAAATAATTAAAATTGCTACGGAAATTTGGCAGTGAACACCAGTGTTCGAGAATGAACGAATAATCCCTATAAAAATGAGAAATATATATTGGTTTAATTTTTTTTTAATTTCAAATTAATTTAATGTTTATCTTAATTCCACAATTTTGAGTTACGACAAGGTTTTGTGAGTGAAATGAGCTGTAGAGTTTAATCAATTTGACGATTACAAGTGTAAATTACTTGCCAATGAATTGAAGATTATTTGACGTTGACTTTATTAACAAAAGTACGTTTCCGAAATCGGCTCATTCGGAAAAGCAACGCAGTATCTTCTTATATTGTATTAGTAAAGTTTAGTAACTGAATTACAGTGCCTGTGTATGATAATAATTGTGTCTTTGTTTGTTGCAGGCAATTTTTACGCATCAGAAATAGTATCGGCCCTAGAATACCTTCATGCAAGGAATATTGTATACCGAGACTTAAAACCAGAAAATCTCCTTTTGGCCAAGGACGGTCATCTGAAGATCACAGACTTTGGGTTTGCGAAAAAGCTGACGGACCGAACTTGGACTCTGTGCGGGACACCTGAATACCTTGCTCCAGAGATTATTCAGAGTAAAGGACACAACAAAGCTGTGGATTGGTGGGCTCTAGGTAAGTGAGATTATGCTTTTATTTTGTATAAAGTGATAACTAACTTCAAGTCCTGTCGTGTTGCATTCTGTCTTCGGGTCGGTAAGATAACAATTGCTCATATATGTATAGATATTTTGTTATAAAAACCTTATTCCCTATTATAAGGAAATGAATTTGTGATTTCCCTCGTCTTAAAAGTAATAATAATAATTCACTTATTATGTCATCCAGTAATTTGCGGGAAAATTTACTTAATAGAACAATCTCGTGATCGATTGAGAAAAATATGTATAATGTTATTATGTGACCAACGAGGCATACTTTCCAAGCTGTAAATTCGTTCAACGACGAGTGTAGTCTTCGTTAATACTGCAAAATGTACGTCAAACATTAAAAACATTTTAATAATAATAATAACGCACTCATTATGTAGTTTTTAATCGGCTCCGAGGAGGTTTTCAATTCGCCGTACTTTTTTTTGTGACCTGATTGCGATGATTCTTTTTGTTTGCTTAGAAAGTGGGTACCTTAGTAGTGGCCCCATTTAAATTTGAAGAAATATTCTACCACTGTTTATTGGATCGTTAGTCACCTTCCGTTAACCGATTTCAGTAAAACTGGGGAAATCATCTATTCCACAAACTTTACTGGTCGTCTTTTTGTTAAAAAAATATTTTAAAAAGTAACTTTATGTATATCAATATGTCGTATGACAATAAACAGCTTATTGCGATGATTTTATTAGTTAAAACACTGAAAATCCATGGGTAATTAATATATGTATTGAGTCACAATATGATAATGTATGTACTTTATTCTCCTGAAGATTTTTTTTTATGATACCAATTAACAGGACGAACAAGTGGTGTTAAGCGATACGCGCTTTAAATCCCAAAGATCTGATCGACACTACCATTGTACCTGTCACCCTCATCAGTTTACAAAGTGCTTGTCATTTGATCCTTATCCTTCAAAACTGAAACACAGTGATGCCCATTTTACTGCTTGACGGTAGTAATAAGTAAGGTGACAGTACTTCTCTGGACGAACTCTTTCACAAGGAGCTCTTCTGCTAGTTATTTGGAAAATTGAAGGACATTATCGTTTAGTTGTAGCCCTCGGAGGTCTCTGATAGCATTGTAGAACCGTGCCCTGATATATCAAAGTAGATATATCGCTTTTGCATTAATAACCCCCTACTCACCTCTTAGAGCTTGGCCAACTTTATTGTGTATCATAGTCACTAGCTGAACATCAAACGACCCCAAATTCGATTGATGCTAAAATTGCTTTATCGTGTGTTGTAAAATAGTCGTAATGAAGTCAGCGATTGTTCGTTTATTCAATCGTTCGATGCCAATCAGCTGCCATTGTTTTGTAAATGCTATTTGTGATTTAAGCTCCATCTGTCTTCAGTCAATAGGGTGTTTTATGTCTATGTTTTCAAATTGAACATTTCTACTACCTTAAGGCCTTCGATTCACTGACTTATTTCAAGTACCGTCAAGTACATAAAAGTTACAGATCATGTAGTGTTTTTCATAGTCTTAATTAAAAAAGTTTAAACGTAAATAAGTAAAAATAAACTAATTCACAAAAATTCATATTTTTTAGGTTTATGTTTGTTTAAAAAGATTTCTTATTTGATGTAAAGCTATCATGATGATAGTCTCTAGATATCGAGTTATTATACTTTTACATCTATCTAGACGTACGGCGGGATATATAGGGATATTTATTTGAGCCGTAACCGTGAAACCAGTAAAAGAGTCCTGAGATTTGAATGCGACAAATTATACGATTTCATTTTCAGTCTGTAGATGATCAGCGACTTTTTTAGCTGAATGATGTCATGTATCCAAAAGCATTATCTAATAATTTCAAAATCTAATGATTAATTAATCTTCGGGAAGATGTAAATAGTCTACATTTTACAACGCCTGTTGGGGATTTCATCTCATTATCTACCCATTTATACGTCCCACCATTTTTAGGGTTTTAGGTCAAAGTCCGCCACGCTGGTCCAAAGCGAGTTTGGAACTTTACACTTTTCCGTACGTTGTAAACCTTCTTCGACGTGTAAGTTTCATTACGTCGTTTTACTTCACCAAAATGCTCATGGTTTTCTAATTAAATTTTGCACATAAATTCCGAACGCCTTAGAGGATGCCCGGATTCGAACCCACGGCCATTTGCTTGAAAGGCGGTAGGTCAAACCACGGCTTTTTATGTTTCAAATATACGGTAAAATTTTTCTCTTCTTTGAAACATCGTTATGTTACCTAATTCACGATAGTACCTATGTACACCATTGAGCGTGTAAGTTTTAAGAGCATTTCAAATATTTGTTAAATAGTATACTTCAATAGAAATTTTGCATTCGACAAACGGTAGCGAAGTATTGCAATGTTACATATTAGTTTTAAACTTGTTATTTTGCATAAAATAGAAAAGGAAGTCGAATCTCGATCAGGGATTAAGAAAGTTGAATAATTCATAATTTTTTTCGTATTGGAATATATTTTCTCTTTCATTAATAAATATGGTAGCCAATATTAAATTATTTATTTACGAGAGTCTCATTACCAAAGCACATCCACACGCATAAGAAATATGAGAACGTTCTTAATGGGTATTATAAAATAGATTTCTTTTTTCTCTCACAGTAGCAGTTTTTGCATATTTTATGCCCAGAATTATAAATGAAAGAGATTAAATCAAGTATTAAGTAATTAATGAGACCACAAACATTTTGCTTAAACTTTTAAAATAATAATAAAAAAATAAATACACACAAGTTGTTTAAGACTATTTGGAAAAAATACGAAAAATCACGGTTCAAAAAGTTTGTTATTTATCAATTAATTTAATAGAGATCTTTGTGAAAGAGTTTTCAGCTAATTTTCCTATTTCTACCGCCAAGCAGTAATGTGAACATTACTGCGTTCCGATTTTGAAGGGTAAGGATGCTAGTGAAATTACAGCTACATGGGACTTATCAACTTGGTATCAGGTTGACGGGCGCAATGGCAGTGCTCTTCAAACCGCACGTCTCGTTCGTCCAGTCACTTGGTATCATAAAAAAATAAAAAATACTCATTTCAGCGTCACTATTGGCCTAATTAAATAAATAATTAACTGCCTCCGTGGCCGAACGGTTACCATGTCAGACTGCCATGCAGAGGCCCCAGGTGCATTTCCCGGGTCGGGAGAAATATTTTTATGGCCTACTTTATTTCTCTCGTGAGTTTGGATGTAATTTGTGGTTGTCTACGTGTGTGTCCATGGCACCCGCGACACAGGGTTTCCCTAGTGCGGGGATATGTTGAGTGTGTACGTTATTATTGAGTGTGTACGTTATTAATTAACTACCTTTTACAACACTACGACAAATATACAACATATATACAAGTCACAAATATACAAGTCATCTCAATTTATTAATCGCGATATGGTTCACAACGAAGAAATGTTTAAACACGCTAATTCATCCATTTTAATTTTCAACACTTATCTAATTTATTCTCATATAATTGCTGCAAGTGTGTCATGGGTATGAAATTTGACTTTTAAAAATTCTGTTTTAATGTTAGTTTTCGTTCTAATAACACTAAATTTTAAATTATAAATAAAATTAAGCATAGCACTTATTAATATGTTCTAATTTTATTTAAATTAATAAATTTAATTTAGTAGAAAGTTAACATTGTATAAATAAAATGTTTTCTAAAAAATGTCATTAAATATGTCGTAAAAGTGTTCTTTGGTAAATTTAAAATAAGATATTTATATTAATGACTTTTGTAACTAAAGTTCAGAATAGAGGGGTATGCATATAATGGCGGCATCTCACATGGCTGGTTTTATTCGCACCCAACAGGTGTTTGTTGTACTTGGAAAAATATTTGACTTTTGACAAACACACAATTGGAAATGAAACTATTTTTCCGGGTTTAAATCGCGTATATGACCATGACCGTCAACCGTCTCCATGGGACATGTAAAGGGCCCGAAACGTCGGTTTGTTTGAAAAAACAAATATACGCGATTTAAATCCGGAAAAAGAGTTTCATTTCCTATGTGTTACAATCGCGAAAACCTAAGAAAACCATGTGAAGTGCCACCGTTAGTCATACTGTTTGATGACTATTACCTCTGTCAGCCGTGATCATGAGACCTCCGAAAAATAGTCTCATTTCCAACATTAAAAGTAATTAGTATTTGATGACCTTCGTGGTCGAGTGGCTTGCAAACCGGTTTTCATGGTGTCGCCATCTCGGAGGCCCCGGGTTCGATCCCCGGCAGGGTCAAAGTAGAAAACTAAATTTTCTGTAATCTCGGGTCTGTGTGTTTGTAGTACCGTCGTTGTTTCCGGTGTCCATGACGCAAGTGCTTTAGTTACTTACTTTAGGATCAGAGCAACGTATGTGATGCTGTTTAATATTTATTTAGTTCGGTTGCAGGTGACTTGCGAAATGGTTTAATCGTTCATTTCTTGTTTTCCATAAGACTGATATTAAAAATGCAGATTGCGTTAAGTTTATGCTTGTTATTTTGATTTATAGTCTTTATTTGGGATAGTGTATATTTTTTCTAGCATGCTTTGGTGCATGACGTCAACTCGGGCGTGAAAGATAAAGTACTGTCGGCCTTAACTTCTGCAATCGTAAATGATGCACGTCTTTTCTGCAAATAGAACGTTTGTACCAACATCTCCGTATATATTTACATCGGTGTAACAAGGTTTCTATGTTTATAAGTAAGCCGGTTTTCAGGTTCGTTGCTCCGTTATCTTTCGGCAAACAGTTGAAATTCTAATATACAAATCATCGGTATGCGTCGCTTTTCATGTACCATTTACATTACAGTTATTTAGTGCTCCAATGATTCGTTTTTTCGTCCCCTTTGTCGTTGGATAGCTACCCAATGCGATTTACATAAATACTTCTAAATAATTTATAGCTGAAGTTTTTGTTTATGCATTTGGCATCAACTTAATGTTTGCGGTGGGTTTATATGATTAACAAACAAAAAAAAAACAATAAAATTCTTGAACATCAATGACAAAATAAACTAAATATAAACGATGTTTGGACAATAATACTGTCCCAGACTATCGATATACGAGTATTACGTAGAACTGAGAATGAGAGATCGAGATCTCATCGATTGCCTGCATTTGTAGTTTTAGATTTAAGTACTTTCAAAAGTCACTTCGCTCAATTGCTTTCCAATACGTGCAGGTCGAAAATTACGACCCAGATTTTCAATAAGCTAGTGATGGGTACTCAATGTAATATCTTTAACTCAATAAATATGACTTTGAATTTGAAAGTTGCTAATGAATATTATTATTTATGCCATCGTCATTAAGTACAGCGAGATTGAATTTCAATAAATTGTTGTGGTAATATTTTGCTTTCTACCTTTCAGGTGTGCTCATTTATGAGATGCTGGTCGGGTATCCACCTTTCTACGATGATAACCCATTTGGCATCTATGAGAAAATCCTCAACGGACGAGTGGAATGGCCACGACATCTAGACCCCGTGGCTAAAGATATTATCAAGAAATTACTAGTTCAGGATCGCACCAAGAGACTTGGGAATATGAAGGTAATAATCATTTTCATCTTTGTGGAAGATTGAAGTGAAGTGTCTTCAGATAGTGTTGTTATATTTGTACAATATTTGACCTATGTCGGTATTGGTTCAACTTCAACATATCTGGGATAAAAACTTGAATTTGACTCTTAGTGACTCATGAAGGCAATCAAACGCAGGGAGGGATTGCTACGCCAACTATCTCGAGAAACAGCTGCTTATTAAAGCATGTATATTCGTTTTTTTTTCACACAATACCAATGTTTCGGAATCTTTACAGGTCTCATGGTCAAGGCTGACTCCAGTTAGTAGAGTCAATCAGCCGTGACCATAACGTCGGTGTGCTTGAAAATAAAAAAAAAAAACAAAAACGTGATTTAGTTCCGCAATAAATAGTTCTTCGTTCAAAACTTTCAATATGTCATTATTTTTTATTTTATTTATAATTAGTTAGGTAATATGAAATAGATTTTACGCTAGATAGTCGATTGGGTAAACTTTCTACGTTTGCCATAACTTAAAGTTGTTTTTTTGCGTCTCTGGCGTTTATGGTAACTCATTCGCATAATAAACACATCCAATCGAAAGGTCGAATGAAAAACACTATTTTTCAGTTTTCATCTCCAGTTTCGATCGTAGTTTGTAATCACAAGTCAATTGGAAATTACTGGTCTAGTAAACAAATCAAACTAAGTATCTCGATCTAATAAAAAGCAATAAGTGGAGCTAGAGTTTTATTACAATGAACAGATTCGATGTACTAAATGGCGAGTCACTTTTCCAGTCATGATTGTCAAGTTTTAATTCATGTGGATTTTATATTGAGGTACGTTTTCCCCTGTTTACTTGTTACTTCATTGGAATACATAATTCCAATTGAGTATAGTGTTTCTGGATCTACATACTAAATCCAGCACAGTGAACAGTAGGCAAACCTAAACTATTGTTTTTTTAATATTACAATGAGTGCGTCGCTTCTCTAACTCAAGCCTTAGACATCACGTGTAACGTAAATGTGTTTTATTTCTAGCATTGTTTTATTTAGGGAGTGTCTAGCATATTAAAGCTGAAGTTTAATCTTAGAGTGAAGAGGCCCTGGAGATTATACAACCCGGGATTATAAAGTCAATTTAAAAGTGAAGAAACTGAATTTTTGAAATACTTAATTGTTTCTTGTAATTAATTATTTATATACCATAATGTTTTTCTAACAACAAACGAAGTTATGTGGCAGAAAGAAGTTCGGAGCAAATAGAATCCTGGGTAGTAAAAAAATCGTTAACCAAAAATTAATTTGTTCAAGATAAAGCTATACGCATTACATATGACCAATAACGACAAGTATTGTTCTCTGGCATCCACTTGCGTAATTAAAGCTTATAGTAAATATTACAATAGGAACAATAAATTTCAACGATCCATTGTTTGGCAGCAGGTTTAATTAATAGAAAGCTTATTTCCAGTACATAAAGTGTCTTAAAGCCGGAAAATTATCGTCATTAGTAAACCAGACACGTGGCAACCCTAGTTATGACTGGAAATATCCAGCCTTGCGCTTGACCACCCGCTTGAACTGAATACGAGGGTGTTTTGAATTATGATTGGCATACACTGGATGCGGAGCGGAAAATAACACGTGTAAACGTGTGGCTAAATATAATAATTGTTATATTTTGTTTGCTAAAGCGATTATACGTATCTACTGAATGACGTGCATAGAAAAGTTTTTTATTCAGTCTCCTCTTATTCGTTGTTTTTGTTAGTTACGATAGGTTCTGTCTCAAAGAAAAATGACCTCAGTTGATCAATTGTTGAGACGCATCCGATTCATCAACTGGTAGAACCAATGTACGAAATGAAATAAATATCTGGGTGTATTTTTTGTTGTCTAGTTTAGTGCTGAAATGTGTGTGTGTCAGACTCCTCACGTAAGATGTAGAGGATCAATGCTCTGTATAAACAAATATGCGAAGTTAAAATGTATGTGCTTAATACTTTTCTGAAAGACAGAAGACGATTAATAATCCGTAGGTGCTCCGACAGGCAAAGCTCTTGTGAGACACGTTTAATTCGAGTTTGGTACAAAAAGAAAATTTATATCCCTCTTGGACTTGGCCAGTGTCCAGTCACTCCATAAATAACATCTAATCTAAACCTTGTCAACTTGTATACAAAGATTTTTAATTTGTAGTCAGAAATTGGTCAGTAAGCATAATACAACGCTTACCACACTTTTTTATATAATTTCAATTGTATAAACGAAATCAAATGTACAAGATATACTAAGACTCTGAAGTCACATTATATTATTTTCAATTATGATCTCTAGTTTCGATCTTAGTTTCTAATCACAAGTCAGTTGGAAATTACTGGTTTAGTAAACAAATCAAACAAAGAAATTCGAAGTAGCAAAAAATCAACAAGTGCAGCTGTAACCTGTACGGACAGATGTCTGACGCGAACACTTAATATAGATGTAGCAGAAATAGCGAGTCAATTTTTCAGTTTTTATTGTCAATATTTAATTAAGATGGATTTTTTTCTAAGGTACGTTTACCTCGGAAAATAAGACGCAGTTCTGCTTAATTGCTTAATATTGCTTACTACACTTTTTCTATAATTTCAATTGTAAAAATGAAATCAAGTGTACAACATATACCAAGGCTCTAAGTCGCATTGGATCAATGTGATGTTTTCTCTCCGTAGATGAGATTAGGGCGCATTACTATCGTATATAGGGCGTATTATATCGGTTACACATAGGTTGACAATCTTAAAGTACATTGTCGTGAATAAATGACTTGGTGTAAATGCGCCATAATGCAGTATTTTCTACTAGCATTTTGTAAATGTTTTTAATGATATCTAGTGACGGGCCACGGGATGTATAAGTCATGTAGAACAGTTGCAGTGCTAATCAAAGCTTTATAACGCAAAGAACGGAGGGGCACTGCCACTGCGCCCGTCACCCTGACACAAAAGTTGACAAGTCTCATGTGCCCGGTTTACTATGTTTTTATGGCAAACTTTTACTTCGACCCATCCGTACAATAAAGATATATGTGCAAGACTATTTGTTCTCAGGACATAGTATATTTCGGTCGTCCTACTTCGCTGTGGATGTCAGATCGACTGTTGTTCGATTTTATATTCCCGAAACGAACTAAGATGTAGAAATTCTCAAAACACCTTTACAATAGGCCTTCGTTTGAATAACGAAATTATTCTCGTAACATACTTATTCTCTTTTCGCTATATAATCACATCGGACTCTGTTCTTCGGATGAGTCGACTTGTGTCTCATATAATGGTAAGTGTAGATGTGGCCGAGATCCTCCTTTTACTGTATGCGTGCATAGAAAGTTCTATGAATACACCCAAGTAATATTTTGTCAATACGGAGTTTTGTTGTCCCTATGCAATAGTTTCACAACAATTTGTTTCCTAGGAAAGCATTTGTCCACTACGTATTGTATAATGATGCATTGTTTGTGTTCTCCAGCAAATCACTTATGTATGACCTAACTATTAAATTAAACGAAAACAAATCTGGCTAAAGTCCAGAGAGAACTTGCTTTAGTGCGTCCAGAAGTGCGTTGCTTAGTGTATTATATGTTTCTTCATTGTGCATCTATATTTGTATGGACTATGGCGCTATGGTTACAATAAATTTATCAATAAAATTATGCAATATATATTATGTTAATGATACTTTGATCATCTATCATATGGTTTATCTATTTGTTATAAACTAGAATAATAAATTACTTAAATATGAACTAATTATGTTTATTGAATTTTGCAATCTTTTTAACGCGTCTTTAGTTTAAATCTATATTTACGCTAAATTGGTAAATGATTGAAAAGAACAAGCATATTTAGCAATTAAATTTGTGACAACTACAGTTGTTCCTCCGATCGTATGACAATGGATTATAAATCAGTTACTAACGTAAAGAAATGACATGAAATTTGCGTGCACGTCGGAAACAAAGGTAGGGTTTCGAAATATGTAAAACTTTCTTCGCTGAAGTTTGCGTGATGACACGAAACGATTACCGCAGGAATAAACCTCATAACTGTGGATATGGACATAAGTAGAATGATTTTTTTTACTTATTTTCATAGAATGATTACTATTTTATATATAGTACTTTGTCTATAAATCATTATTAACCGACTTCAAAAAAAGGAGGAGTTTCTCAATTCGACAGTATGCTTTTTTTTATGTATGTTACGCTATAACTCCGGTTTTTTGTTGGAAAGAGGGTACTGTAGTACAGGCAGCTTAGGTTTTGTATTTATAATTGTAAGAATAATAGATGTCAAATAGACATCTAGGAGTTCTGGACAAAACTTTGAAATTGAACACACGTATAAAGTTATAAGTATAATATAATCGTCGTTTATATTTATAAAGTACCTATCGCTACGCTACCCAAGCTACGTACCATGCTATAAGTGGTGGAGGCGCCAGGTCCGTCCTGTGCTATAGTACCTCCACAGTGGTCCCATTTAATTTTGAAGAAAATCATCCAAATCTGAGGGTGGCTGTTGAGGCATGAACATTCAGTTTATAAATAGCGCCTAAATTTTATTATAAGGAGCAATTATTTTAATGGTTGATTTTGCTATTCTCCAATTAAAGGCGTTTCTCTCTCTTAATATACTTTGAGTAGTGAGAACCGATTTTTATTATATCCTGTGTCAAGTCCCGTATAGTGGCGAACTAGGGGATGAATCCGGGTTTGCGCACTTTCCGGTAACCGATTTCAATAAAAGTTGGTAATTATATGTAATTCCACGTACCTTTCAGGTCGGTTTTTTAGTACTCTGTACTGAGATTATTTATTATTGTATATAAGGGGTGTGTTGTATGTATATTTAACAATGAGCAGTGCGTAGGTTGTAGCAGCTGTCAACAATCATCTTTGACCCATTTATACGTTCCATTGCCGGGTATGGATCTCTTCTCAGGCGACAATTAAATTCTATTTCGCACATAAACATTAACTCAGAGGTGCGGGCCTGGATTCGAATCCACGGCCTCTGCTGAGAGGCGGTAGGTCAAACCATTAGGCTATCACGGCAGTCAACAAGAATACAAGTTATTTTTAGATCTGAAATAAAAATAGAAACGAAACTACCACATTGACGACACTTATAGAACTAAATCTCATATAAATGTTAATTAAGAACAACTCTCACCATCTAAATTCGTTTAGTAGAAAAACAATCTAAAAATATAATGCCCTTAAAAGCGGTTTCGCAGTGTATTTTTAAACTGCAGTTTCTAGTCTGGTTTCACCGAGCTGTCGCAAAGATGTTTAGAAAGCCATCCGTCACTGTACGAGCCAAAGGCGCGGAGACTTCAAACGTCCAACCATTTGAGTGATGTCACAAAGACGATATACTTACGTTTATACTGTCAGTACGCACTATAAACAATGTGTGGGTACAACTGCTCAATTTACATACATTACTTTTGGTGTAGAATTGGAAATGTGTTATAACAAACGTTGTTATTAATTATAACTTATTTATAAAAAAATCCGACCTTAAAAAATTCGCTTTTCAAAACGAATAATTAGATTTAAAAAAATGTAATATCAAGTGACGGGGCGAATAAGTCGTGCTCCTGATGGTAAGCTACACGCCTATCCATAACAGTTACAGTGCCACTCAGCGCTATAAATCGCGAACATCTAAAGCGCACTGCCACTGCGCTCGACATTCTGACACGTCGAGTATATAACCAGAAATAGAGACGAAATAAGGGCCATACATCATTTTTACATTCCTGGTAACTCATCAGTGATACATCACTTATAAACATCAACTCTCGTTTGCACTGAAATATAGAAGCGCCAACAACTGACCTGTGTGTACGTCTTCGTATATTCCAAAAACATTCTGTATTTATTGTAATAAAGATAATATCTTTAACTCTTATTGTTTCGAATTCGGGCTGGCCAATCGAAGCGCAGTTGTCACAGTAATGACATGGTAGAATAGTTTTCAAACAAATTAAATGACATTTCGTCTCTATTTCTGGTTTATGTTCGATGCCCTGAGACATAAGTTGACAAGTCTCATGTGCCTGTAATTTCGCCAGCACCCTTACCACAATAGTAACAATAGACTAGCTCTGACGTTTTTGGCGATCTACTCCGAGGTTTCCTTTTGGTGCTGGTCTGGGTATTCCGGGTAGTGCCCCGGAATGAATTCTGTTGCTCCAGAATTCATAGTACAGGGAATACCAAATGGTGCCTGGCATTTGGCATTATTATTGTTATAAGACTATGAGTTTCGTATTTTTCAAGAACTGTAAATATCCCAGGTAACCTCATGGTTACCTGAGATATTTACGGCATTGACTTCCGAATATATTATAATAGCAGTAGAGCTCCTTATGCAAGAGTTCGTCCAGGGAAGTAGGTACTGTCATATTACCGATTTATTGCTGCCACGCAGTAATGTCAGCGTGACGTGCCGTTGAAATGACAGGCATATGGAACTTTACAATTAGTCGCAGGGTGACGGGGCGTACCAGTGTCTCTCAGACCTTTGCGATTTAAAATTCTGAGCGGTACTGCAACTGTTACGGACAGACGTGTTGCTTGCTACCAGGCGCACGATTTGTTCGTCCCATCCCTTGATATCAAAAAAATACCAAAAGTTACTTTCTCGACTCGTTTCATTTACAGTCACAACTAATTTACGTATAGGTATTATCTTTTCAGCATTGTGTAGTAATAGTTGAATAACTTATTTAATTAATCTGTGATGTTCTGTAGCAACCTTCGATTAGAATAACAAGCCATTTAGAAAACTGGGTGCTCGGTCAGTGGCTTGCTCAACCAGACAACTAATTACTGATCCGACGCGTTAATTTATCCCACTGACGCGGCGACACTGACACATGTATCTTGTAATTCTTATTTCTTAGATGCTATTTGTAGAATAGTACATGAACTGGCAACTTTGTTTTTTGTCAGGTTTTGGATGCATTTTATTTGATTTGTTGCATACAAAATTCATTACTTAAAGGTTAGTTTTCAATTCGGCATAATATCTGGAATCAAGAAATTTTATTCTAATAAATACTAATGAAGAACAGGAACCTAAGATATAAATACAATTAGTACGTGACAGTATACCGAAGCAAAAAGTTTGTTTTTTTATGACACCAAGAAACGGGACGAACAAGTCGTGCGTCTGGCCTGGCCTGTCCATAACAGTTACAGTGGCTTATTCCACTAGTCCCTACCAGCTGTCCTCTTCCACTCTTCCCTACTACACCATCACTGGACGTGTCCGTACACGTATATAAACCACTTAGAGCTTCAAATCTCAAAGATCTGAGGGGCACTGCCACCGCGCTCGTCACCCTGAGATATATAAGTTGACAAGTCCCTATGTACCTATAATTTCACTAACAACGCAGTTATGCATTTTAGCTTGGTGGCAGAAATAAGGAAGGTGGCTGTACTTCTCTGGACGATACATGTTATTACGATTAATATATCTTGTGGACAAAAGCTATTTAGCCTATTAAAACCAATGCTTCCGCTGAGCGAATTAGAAAATTACATAAAATTACAGCCAGCGGGCTAGTTATAAGCGCCGTGCTGCAGCAGAATACCCTAAAGAGTTTGCTACTGTGAAATTACGATCGGCTTGGCATCACTGCGGGAAGATAAATTGGAGCGTGACTCGCTCTTCTTAGTCTAAATCTATGAATTTATCGTCTACTATATAGACGAACGTGGGAGGAACGTCGTGTACGTAAATAATAGCAGTGTTGCTGTAATTTCGGCCAATTCCGATGAGAATTTTATGGTCCATCCCGATCGAAAAGGCTATTGTAAGACACATTCTCATGTTTATGGCGGGCGCTTTCAGTGACCGCAACCGGTTGTTGATCTTGATTCCTTTCTGATTTGTTGTTTGTTTGTATTTACAATCTTTGATCTCTTTTTTGCAGTGCGGCACAGAAGATGTGAAGAGGCACAGATGGTTCAAGCATATAGACTGGGCCGACGTCTTCATGAAGAAATTGCAGGTCTGTATTTACTTACATCAAAATGTTATTTTGACTTGTAGAAAATATTACTGCCCACTGGAAACGTAATCATGATAACATCATTCCTATTTTTGTAAATCATTCAAATGTACCGTCGACAACAGAATTAGATTCTATGAGCCCTTGAAACTTCTATTGGGGATTATTTTGAAAGTATACGTTTTCTATTTCCAGCCACCTATAATACCAGCTGTATCATACGAGGGCGATACTTCCAACTTCGATGAATACCCTGAGACCGATTGGAAGTCAGTACGAGCTCTGGATCCAGAGGAATTGAAACTTTTTGCCAACTTTTGATTGTCACCGCGTAAACGTAAAGGATGTACATGTAAATTAACTTGTTCAAAGTGAGCCACTACCTCCATATTTATTTGGATATGAACTAGTAATCTAAGTATATGGATAGAAAGTCATGGCTCAAATGAAAATTGTCACTTTTAGCATATCGAATCCAATACAACTCGTTTTTGCTATTAAAGTTAACACGGAACAAATGAATTTCGCGTCGATAAGTGTTTACTTTTCTATTTCAAACACTTTTGAATCGAATTTTACGCAGTGTGTAAAGGAAACCATCGTGAAAAGCGAATTAAAAATATGACTTCCCATATATATATATATATTGTAGGTACTGAATATAAAATGCAATGATGAGTATATTAACTGATTTTGCCTGTATTTTTCGGAATAGGTTTTTTTAGATTGTTCTTAAAGAGGATATATCGATGCCTTACTTTCTCAAGCTCGTATCTTATAAAGAGTGATTATTCAGGATATAGCAAAACTTTCTATTTATTTTCAATTGTTTTATTAAAGGTGTTAATTTGGATGCATTACTTCAAGAAAACGTAAAAGCCAGTGTGGAAATATGAAGGGAAGGTGATGTGAAATCAGTCTGCTGCAATTGGTATATACAATGGATTCTTTGCATTTTAGTAACTTTGTGTTTTAAGATACGAGTGTGAGAAAGTAAGGCGACGATTGTATAACAGACCGAGAGATTAAAGCTATCTTTATTTTGAACGATTTTGTGGTCTGAAACATGCATTTAAAAAGATAGCTTGATCTCATAAAGATAATATTGAAGTAACATTAAAGGAAAATAATTATTTTTATACTCATTTAGAACTCTAACCGCCATGTTTAAATAATAAATTTTTGAAGAGGCTTAACAATTCAACATTATTGTATATAAGTTAATTTGTAAGAGTAATGCGTTAAAATTCCAATGCTTTCTAGTGCAACTGTAGTTAAGTAAGAATTAATTTTAAGTTTCATGTCATGCAGAAATCCAATGTTTGTGATTTAATATTTAGTAAATAAATAGATATACAGAGGGAAAGAAAATAATTTGATCATACTGCAGTTGGTGATAGTATTCAAGATAATATCAATAGCATTTTTAATTATCTCAAATATTTTTCTCTGTCTATACAAAACAATATTTTTTCGTTATATATTTGTTTTATTTATGAGTATGAACAGTAGCTGCAATGTGGTTGGAACATTCTCTGCAATATCCTGTAATTAATTTTATTGTAGTTGAACATCATAAATAGTTATATAGGTATTTATTTTTTATTTTATGTGTGTAATAATGCACCGTTTTTGTGTGACATTGCAAAAGCTATGTTGATGCAAAAACGTTTTAAAGTCGTGGATTCTTTTGTTTTAAATCCGTCCTCAAATAATACATTTTGTGCGTAATATTTTTATTTGTGGTCGTGGTTATACGATAATATGATGTTCTCATTTCATCTAGTTATCCCGCGTTTTAAGCACATTACTGTAAATTATGAAGAAGTACCTATCATAAAAATAAATTAGATATACAAGCGGATGAAAACGGCTTGAGGTGAGAGCTCGTCTTTGATTATTCAGTGGTGATATTTATGCAACTTACCAGTTATAAGCAGAATTTATGGGTCAGCTTGTTGCCTTGGTTACTCGAAATAACTTAATCAATTTCCTCGGTAATTGATTCCAAGAAGAATCTTGTTAGTTTTGAAAATTGAACTATTTAAAACAGATTTGGATCCTTGAGCTACATCTCTAATTTAATTTAATTTTTCTGGTTCACGTAATACAAGAAATACTTTTGTTTAAAGCCAAATAATTGACGTAATATCTGTAGGTGAGAGGTAAATAAATTTTTACTACAGAGTCTTTCAAAGATTATTATGCTGTTAATTAAGCAGTAAAGGTCAAATGAAATACATTAAATAAAAAATTAACGATGATAGGACTTAATGTTACCATTGCGTGATTTTTAGCATCCTAAAGCATTGTTTGTAAAAACATCTAAATTCCAAAATATGGACAAGCTCTTTTGCCTTTTAGCTACAGGTATTATCTATTTCGTTATTTCCAACTCTCAAGCCAAAATCATCCGTTTAAATCACCAGTAGCCTAAAAGATTAATGTTTGCGGGCCATACTTACTTACTGTGATCTTCGTAGTCAAAATAATTGTGAAGTGAAATTGGCATTGTTTGTCAAACTATTAGAGAAGAATTGAAGAACCCTAATCGTTAACTATTAATCATTCTTCATTAGAGAAATGTAATAATTGCTAAATGTAACAGGGTTGTAAAGTGTATTAGAAAATAGATATTTAAAATAAATGCGTTGTTTAAATCTTACATTGTCTTTTAATACTTTGACGCCCTCAGTGGACCGACGGTTTGCATTGTGGGTGCTTGATGGGGAGGCCCCGTGTTCGATTCCCGGTAGGCCCAAATTGGGAAATCAACTTTTCCAAATTAGTTCTGGTGTAGGTGTTCCGTAGTTCCCTGGAGTGAGTTCCGATGTTCTGTTAATCGTAGTACAGACTGTTTTCTAGTTTGTGACTAGGCAATTAGTGTAGTTGTCTGGCATATTAAAAAAAACTTTTTTTCGTCTCAAAGCCTCGTATTACACAAATATAAAGTACCTAACTAGGATTCATAAAAGATGATTCGTTTATTTTAATCCGAGAGTAACCGAAATGTGCTATGAATCAGAACAAATAAACGATGTTGTTATAGTACTTACGAAGACTTTCGGAATGCATCCAAAAAAGCTTTACTTTAAAAATAGATTTCAAAATTTTCCAAAGTAGATTACAGAGGCAAGAAAGGATACTATTTCGGGACTTTCGGGATTAAAGGACACTACTATTTCGAAGTGAGAAATTTTGTTTGGGATACTAAAAAAAATTGCCACAAAGAACACTTTCCCATTTCCTATTTTACTTTTTTAACCGACTTCAAAAAAAGAAGGAGATTCTCAATTCCACTGTATGTTTTTTGTATGCATGTTACGTGATAACTCTTTATGATTTTAATGATTGTTTTTTGGTTGAAAAGTGCATACTTAAATAGCAGTAGAGCTCCTTGTGAAAGAGTTCGTCCAGGGAAGTACTGCCACTTTACCTATTTCTGCCGCGAAGCAGTAATGTCAGCGTAACAGTTTTTCGGTTTTGAATGGTAAGGGTGCTGGTGAAATTACAGGCACATGGGACTTGTCAACTTATGTCTCAGGGTGACGAGCGCAGTGACAGTGCCCCTCAGATCTTTGCGATTTAAAGCACTGAGTGGCACTGCAACTGTTATGGACAGGCGTGTAGCTTACTGTCAGGCGCACGACTTGTGTTGTTGACATTATAAAAAAAAATTCAACACAACTACTATGAAGAATCTGTGCTCCTAAAAAACATTCTATCTCACCTACTTGGTACGTAAACATCTAGCGTAAAGGTAACAAGAGCTGTTAGAGGCATGCTATAGAAAAGGCTTATACTCAGTAGTAGACGTTTTCCAGCTGAAGTTCGGAAATGTAAACGCAATATTTTAAGAATTGTGGCGCACTTACTTGAAGCTGATTCGTTTATACTGCGTAGAAGACTGGTTGACGACTCATAATTTGGAAATAAACATTCAACGTTTACTTTTCTAAACAGATCAAAGAAGAATCGTTGTCGTTTTCATTTCAATTTAGCAGTCTATTTAATAAATATTTCTTCAATTTGTAAATGCTACATTAAACGTAGAAATGATACATCAACATCATCAACCCATTTATATGTCCCACTGCAGCGCACGGGTCCATGTCTGGCGAGGGTTTTTTTATAAGTAATACTAAGTGACGTGACGAACCAGTCGTGCGCCTGGTGGTAAGCCGCACGCCTATCCATAACAGTTGCAGTGCCACTCACAGCTTTAAATCGCCAAGATTCTACGGTTCGTATTCTTTATTATTTTATTTTTATTTATTTATATATAATAATAATGTAAAATGATAAGTACAAGTGCAAGATTCGTTCATTTTTTCTCCTCTCATTAAAGTCTACGACGGAAATGTCCATCTTACTAATATCATTCAAAAATATTTTTTTATTTATTTTTTATTCATTACAAAAATTGTACTTTCAAATCATAGTAATACTTACTTACTTTACTAATAGTAATAAATGTAACATAATATTAATCAGGTGTATAATTAAAGAACAATTATATACAGAGTGTATAATCCAATTTACTTAAAGTACCACGCCTCCCTATGTTGTAGATGTCCTAAGACGTCACACGAAGTGTTTTGCTTGGACGACTATTGATTGGAATTCCCTGCCTGCAGACTTTTTCTCTGAACATTACAACTTTAGGCATTATTTAGGTGTTCATGTTCTATCGTCGACTTTTTATTTTTAATGCACACGCTCATAGCCCCGTACTAGAGAAAGCCTGTATCGCGGGTGCCATGGATATATATAACTATAAATTACACCCAAACTCACGAGAGAATATAAATGTAGGCTATATAAACATTTCTTTCGGCTCGGGAATAGAAACCGGGACCTCTGCGGGATCGTGCGGTCACGGAGGCAGTATACTTCATTGTCACTTTCCAACATGAAGGTGAGATGGAGGTGAAATACACACTTATATTTTATTTTAAAAATATATAAATGAAATTAATATTATATAGAACGCTCCGTTTATCTCTTTGCAAATGTAGATAGCTAATCGGTAATCATTTCTGGATATCATTCTATACTAACGACACTCGCAAGCGGACAATTCATTTTATTGGACGGTGATGATAAAGTTACAATATAGAAAAAAATATTAATATATTTCTCCTTATTTGTTGACCTGTAAAATAATGACTGTACGTCCGCTACCACCGGTGTTAGCTGAAAGAGCTAAGAATGAATTAAACGAAGATCCAAACCGATTGCAGAATGACTTGCAAAGTCTGAAAGAGTGGATTGCTAAGCAACCACATCTACGCGCCAGAACAGGTGAGTTTTACTGTATACCTACTTAAAAATAGACTTTTAGGTACAGGTGTCTACTATAAGGAAAATGCAACGTGTGATGGATAAAAGTTATCTCGATTTTATAATTACTCCAAAGTGCTTTCATAAGCATATCTCGTAGAGCACAAGTACCCACGGCTTTAAAAATTGTGTCTAAACAACAGAGAAGTGTATATCGAGTTCTTAGGTTTTCGCGATTGTTGCACATAGGAAATGAAATATTTTTCCGGATTTAAATCGCGTATATTTGTTTTTTCAAACAAACCGACGTTTCGGGCCCTTTACAGGTCCTATGGTCACGGTTGACTGAGGTGGTACAGTCTTCAACCAGTTATGTCTAATATTATATAATCACAAATATTATATAAATAATATTATATAAACACTAATTTTTATATAATCACAATTAGTGCAATAAGTACGTTATTATTTCTGTAGACATGTGCAGAATAAAATTAGTGTAATAAATGTAATAATGATTTAGTGCTATATGTACAATATAGCTAGGCTTATCCGGATCGTGGCAATAGATATTATTAAACGCGAAAACAATCCATGAAATATCACGTAAATCCAAAATCTCAAGCAATCGTATCCTAATATTTAAGACACCTACAATCTACCAAGAACTGTGGATAAGGACTTAATTCTGAACTTGAAAGGATTAATTCAGTTTGTTGGTTTCACCGTTTAAGTCGCATAACGTACATAATGTTACAGAAGTATTTTCTAAAGTCCCAGCATAGGAGTGACTTGAGTCCTTTTTTTTATGACACCCAGTGACGGGACGAGAAAGTTGTGCACCCGGTGTTAAGCGACACGCCTATCCACAGCAGTTGCAGTGCCACTCAGAGCTTTATATCGTAAAGATATGACGGCACTGCCACTGTGCTCGTCACCCTGAGATATAAGTTACAAGTCCCTTGTGCCTGTAACTTCACCACCACTTTACCCTTCAAAACTGGAACACAGTAATGCTCACATTATTGCTTGGCGGCAGAGATAGGCAAGATGGCAGTACTTCCCCGGACGAATTCTTTCACAAGGAGCTCTACTGCTACGAAATAATTTTACATTTCACAATTTAATAGTACAAATTTTATATAATCTAATTGTACGGTAACAAAAATCAACAGACGTAGGTATATAATTATTATTACGAAATTGTTTAATCTGGTTTAACGTCATTTCGTATCTTAGTTGTAATAAAGTCTTAGTTGATTAACTATATACTGATATTTACACGTACATGTTATCAAGAAAAAAATACGATAATTTAAGTAGATATCTTACAACCAATCGATGAGTAGGTAATTCTAAAATAGAATAATAATAAGATTGGATTGAAATATGTAATATAATTACAATGTGACAATAAGTAAAATTTGAGAAAATTACAAGGTTTCACAAAACAAACGTATTACTCTAATTATTAATAGTCTGCGGATATTGTGGAGTACACACGGGTGAAAGCCAATGCTGCCCTGAGCGTCGAGTAGTTGGAGTCCCGCCACAATGTGATTTTACTTCCTTTGTGGTGTGAGTACCAACTCAACATCTGTCGACCTTCATGAAGGAGAACTTTTGGCCGAAGGGTGTCATGTTCTGGCGTTTCCGAGGACGGTTACCGGACACCCACGTTGCGTCACACGTCGCGGTTCATACGTGTAAATAAATAAATAGTATTAGTGTTTCATTATATTATTATGTATGTTAGTCGATAGGGTATGTATTTATGGGCCTTTTGTAACCTGAATATAAATAAATAAATAAAAATAAAGTAAAAAATAATTATGAAACAAAAAGCAGCGGCATTCCACAAGGAAGTATTTTAGGACCAATTCTTTTCAGTTTATACATAAATGATCTTTCAAATGCCAAAGATCACGAAAGCACACTTACAACACCCTTATATTAAAACGCCATAATGCTATTATAGAGACAAGTTGGAAATGGAAATAAATGAAGGACTACATAAAGTGATCAAATGGTTCATGTGGAGAAGAATTCATAACAATAACGCGCACGCACTCATAGCCCCGCACTAGAGAAACGCTGTATCGCGGATGCCACTACACATAGACACCACAAATTACACCCAAACTCACGTGAGAGAGAATCGAACCTGGAACCTCTACGTGGCAGTCCGGAATTGCAAATGACTTAAATATTATTAAAACAAAATCTATGCAGTTTAGTTCGCATAATTGTAATACATTGCTGATTCAAGTGCAGTATAACAATGAAGTGGTAGATATAGTCGACTGCTTTATTTCCTGGGAGTAAAATTTGACAAACATCTAAAGTGGAAACATCACATTGATCATCTGTGCACTAGGCTGAATAGACTTATCTTTGCCCTACAAAGGGTAAGACAAATTGTATCTCACGAAGCCGCAGTGATGGTTTATCACGGGTACGTCTCCTCTGTATTAAATTATAGGCTGACACTGTGGGAAACTCCGTAGATGTAAAAAAATATGTGTAAAAGCTTTTCGAGGCTTGCATCTCACTTATTTAGTGCGTCAAACAACGAGTGGAGAGCCGTACCTACTGTATTTTGGATTCAAGATTATACTTGAGGTTATGCGGTCCTCCTTGTCATAATTCATAACCAGTGATCGGAAATGAAGGAGTTAATTTACCTAAAGTATCAGTCATCATTGCATATAAAATTTCTTTTTTTTTACTGTTTATTTTTGAAATATTCCAAAATATAGGACGACTCATATTTATTTTTTAAAGGCTAAAGGATTTAAATACGTGCTTACAATATTATTTTTTGAGACAATAATTTGTAGCAAAATGTTAATAGGAAATAATAATTTGTCGCCAATTTACTCAAATTTCACTAAATAATACGCATATTCAAATATAATCACCGAGAACTCACTGGATTTGTAGAAGGGAATGTTCACATTGTTGTTTAGTTTAGCTAAACAACTCCCTTAATTCTCATCACTGTTTATAACTAACGTAACCGAAATTTTTAGTGAAAAGGAGTTATTAAGCATATTTGCCACCCTCTTTATAGAGGCAGTTTGTTTTATATGTCTTATTTACTTTAAGTTTTATTTAGTTAAGCAAAATCAGCGTAATTGAAATGCCAATATTTCGAAAGTTACCAAAATGCAAATGACATAGTTATGACGAGTGAGGCAGTATGGCCATCAGATATCATGAGCGCAAAAACATGTAGAGACTGATATGCGATCCTGTAGTAACCATTCATTACACAAGCAATTACGTGTAAAGTTATGTCAAACATACTAACCTTATTATAATTATTAATACAAATATCGAACACTTAGAAAAATTCCGGATTCGTACTGACGTCTCCTAGCAAACTGTGCTCAACGCTACGGAATGAACCAGCGGACCTCACGAATTTGTCTATGTGCTCGTTGTCGGATCTTTGTCTACCATGGTAACTTTAAAGTTACCTAATTGGGTGAAGAAATACTTTCATACTTTTCTCACACATGGCGCTACGTCAAAAAAGTCGTTAAAATAAAAAAGAAAGATCCAACAACAAGCACATAGAAAAGTTCGTGTTGTTCGCTGGTTTGTTCCGTGATTTAGTTGGCATAGCATCGTGACACGGTTTGCTAGGTGATGTCAATCTTTGTATTAATAATTATATAACAAATTAGTGGAGTGATTTCATAAAAAAATAATTGAGAAACATCCTGACATTCTATAAAAACTTAAATACAAACTTTAGTCACTATTTCAGACGATCAATGGCTACTATCATTTCTACGTGGTTGCAAATTCAGTCTGGAAAGGACCAAGGAAAAGCTCGACCTGTTTTATGCCTGCAGGAGTACAGCGCCTGATTTTTATAGGATCAAACATACAGATCCGAAATTTAATGAAATTCTGGATCTGGGGTAGGTAGACCTTGAGTATATGTACTCGCCTTAATAAACTTAGCAGATAAACGCAATATGCATTGGTTTAAAAAAAAAACAAAGTCTCGAATCTCTTTACGTATTATAACTGACTTTTAAGCGAATCTCACAGAAGATAGGTAAGTGTGAATAGTAAAGGGCTATATTTTTTGCATTAAAAAAGAAATAAATATAATTTTTGTAATGACTAGTACTTTTCTCTACTTCTCAGGGTTTTTCTCATTCTGCCAAATTTTAAATCCGACGCAACACCGTCCTTTGCACCGCAAGTTACGATAATACGACCTGGAGCCTACAATCCTGACAAATATTCCATCACAGAAACTGTTTCTGTATCCAATGTTCTTGAAAAAGTGAGTAGTTACAAGATTTACTAATTTTACTTGAGTATAAGTACATAAGTCGTCTAACAGTCGTTACACACGGCGACTTTTAGCAGCGATGCAAACGCGCGTTCGTAAAACGCGCGATTCCAACGCTTCACTTGCGATTTACAGACGCGCGTGTGCATTGATGCAATTGCTTACAAATCACAAGTGTAGCGATGTAATCGCGCGTTTGTATCAATGCAGTCGCGCGTTTGCATCGCTACAGCATCGCGTTCCATCGCTACAGCATCGCTTTCCATCGCTGCCAAAAGCCGCCGTGTAACCGCTCTAGACTTATGACGTATATGAATAGAAATTTTAATCGGACTTAATTATGCAAGCAAAAACCAACCCACACCTCGAGTGAAATTGAGTTACGTATTTAGGTAGAACACCAGACGTGTCCTTTACCCATTCACAAAAGTTCCTGGCAATATA